TTTCCCTACCTCATCAGTTACAGCTACTTACTTTCATTTCCAAGAAATTTCAAAGGCTAATTCATCCTCATTCAGCCCTCTGCAGGCAGTTCTTATTCTGTATCCAACAGCTCATTATGCTTGCCCTCTATGTCTGACTTGTTAAATGTGAGGATCTTTGTTCTTCTTTCTGTGCCACACTTCCCTGTAAACATCCCTGAATGAATAGGATGAGACAATTGAAAATATTACATTCATTGTCTGAGTCCAAGATTAGAAGAACTGAGGTTCTGAATTCAAAATGCTGTTACAGTAAAGCTGGGTGAATAATTTACAGCATGGAATCTATTTCATGAATTTGGCTTAATTTTCTGTTTACAAAGCAGTGAATTTGGTACTCAGAAGTATTCACCAAATAATCTCTGCAAATTATTCTTGCCACATTGCTTAAAAACACGCAGATTTGAAAATTGATCTGTTTTGATGTATATATAGGTCACATGATAAATTTCTGTAGCCTAGTTACAGGAGTATATCTTAAGAGGCAGGCTGTGGATAGAAATACTGGTGATTACATGTCTAAAATTCACTGCCTGACAATAACTTCTAAAATTATAGTTGTTGTGGTGGTGATCATTCCTAGCAATAAACTTAGCTTCCAGAATACCATCTGAAACAAATGAAGGAGATATAAACACACAAGCTATTTTTATTTTAAAATGAAAATGCTTTTTTTAAAAAAGAATTGTCATTTTATTTTAGGCTTGATTCTCTAAGGAAAAGAAAGAGGTTTAATTGCCTGAGTTTTGTCTTTTTGTAATGCTCAGCTGTGTCATTTTCCCTTAACCCCACATTAACCATTTTATACTTATGGATAAAAAACAAATTACAAAAATATTGGGAGGGGTGGGATACATACAGCTCCAAATTAGCCACTGTGCACGCTGCCTTGCTCATGGGTGGGCTGGCCTGAGTTTTGTCTTTTTGTAATGCTCAGCTGTGTCATTTTCCCTTAACCCCACATTAACCATTTTATACTTATGGATAAAAAACAAATTACAAAAATATTGGGAGGGGTGGGATACATACCATTTTATACTTATGGATAAAAAACAAATTACAAAAATATTGGGAGGGGTGGGATACATACAGCTCCAAATTAGCCACTGTGCACGCTGCCTTGCTCATGGGTGGGCTGTGGAGGGAAGCAGGGGACATGTAGGGAGGCTCAGGGGACATGGGGGAGTAGGGAGATGGAGGAAAACCCAGGATGAAAGGATCTGAGAAAGAACTGTCTATATTAAGGCAGCAACAGTGGAGAAAGGCTATAAGAGGTGTTAGACATCCTTCCATAGAAAAATACATTTTGTTTATTCCTCTGCTCACAGAATTATATGGGGATCTTAACATTTTGGGGTGTTCATTCCTTTTCTGAATGCACAAATCTTATCTTGCCTATCTCAGCAGCCATCATCTTATTTCACTGGTCAGGAGAGTATTTCCATACAGGAACACCTTTCTCCCTAAAGTGGCACAAAGATAAGTGAACGGCAGTAAGCCATGGTCTAACCGATACAATACTCATTACCTATGTATAAATACTCCTTGTTAGTGTTCTCACAGGACTCAGCCAACCTTCCTTCTAAACAGGTCATACAGTTTTACATACTTTATTTCCTATTCCCATGAAATCATAATTTTCAACAAAGAATGTCCTGAATGCCTCAAAACATTTAACTAAAATTAATCATCTGGGAAAAAACTAACTACACCCATGTACCGGATACGGCATGTGAAACAGGGTCACTAGATATCACTCTTGACTGTGGGTCAGAAGTTCCTCAAGTCCCGTTCTCAGAGCTGGCTTGAGATCCAGTGCAGTAACATCAGAAAAATGCAAACTAGGATCAAACTTCCCATCTTTTCTGACTGTATCACTGTAACAATTTTCAAATGAGGGTTGTAGCCCATTGTAGCCCTCTCCCAACATGGTCTTCTGAGCACCAGTTACTACAAAACCCTAACCCAGGATGACAAACTTTATTTACAGTGTGATCTTATATTTTGTTATACTGTCAGCCACGATTATTATTTAGGTGTGCAATTAATATTTTTAGATGCCTTATAAAATGTATTTGAGGCTGAAAATGAAAGGGACGGCAGTCTTGTGAAGACCTTTTCTCAATTGCCTGTGAACAAATACTCTCTGAAACAGTTTGAAAACTGGTGATTCAGTCTGCAAGTCTCATGCAGAAAATTAAGTCAATATGTAATTGTACATTTTTTTCTTTGGTTCATTCAGTTATAACAAGAAATTTGCTCTGCTTTTCCCATCACAAAATTAAAGGTATTCCATATACAAAACATATTCTCTGTAGGTTTCACAGGATAATTACGCAGATAATATCTTAACTGCATTTATTCAATTCTACCTCCCCTCTTTTTTCTCTCAAATGCATACTGGACACCAAATCCACTGAAGAGAAGTGAAGGTGATGAAGACTGTATCAGGACCAACACATGCGACACCTCCTTTTCTGCAGAGCAGTCAAGGAACGTGTCACCCCAGTGCCATGTTCCCCTCTCTCCACTTACATGGACATCCACTGTCCTCTTCCTGTTTTCACAGGAAGCTTGCTCACTTGTTTTTTGTGAATGTTCTGCTCTTTATGGAAAATCTGAATTATTTCAGGGGAAAGGTAAGTGCCTAAACTCTAAACCATTCAAGTTTCAGGTAAAACAGGAAGTATTTGAGTGCCTTCCAGGAGCTGTGGCTTGGGCTAGGGTCATCACTGTGCATTTGACCACCCTTGGGACACTGGGGCTTAGGACAATGTGTCACTTAAAGGAAACCAGGCTGACATACAGGACATGTGCATTCCTATGGGACAATGGGAATATGAGGCATATATTCCCATGCGGGATCCCTGATAACAACTCAGCATGAAAGTATTTGATTTTCAATTGGCATTTTTCAGATTTTTTATTTTTCCACGCGAAACAAAAGTATTGCCTTTCTGTTTTTACAGAGAAGATCTGTAATTTAGAAAGGTAGCTACTGGGATTTTTTTCCTATCTTTGTTTCAATCAGATTTTGCTGACTCAGAGCTATTACCTTGTAGATGTCCAGGAATCCACACTGATGGTCAAAGCGTGTGTAGAGTTCGTTCAGCATGCTGATGACCTGCATGGGCGTGCACTGCGCACAGATGGCAGTGAAGCCAACAATGTCCGAAAAGAGCATGGTGACATCATCAAACTTCCTCGCCTGAACCTGCTGCCCCTGCCACAACTGCTGAGCCACTTCTTCAGGGAAAATAGAAATAAGGAGATCTACTGTTTTCTTTTTTTCCTCTTCCAGGGCTTTGTGCGTACATTCTAGCGTCGCCTTCAACTTATCCATTCGTTTCTTCAAGCCGTCCTGGGCCTTTGCTTGCTCCCCAACCAATATGACATCACGAGTAGCATCATGGATAGGTATGTCCGAAAGATGGAGGCCTCGGCCCATCAGTTCATCCAGCTTGTCCACACAGGGGGAACCCAAAAACAAAATTGAATTTGATTCTGGCACATGAATCATTTGTCCTTTAATTTCCATCACCTGCAAAATAAAAATAGAGTTTAGAATGGGAAAAAATAGCTGATAGGTGTGGATCCCCATTCTATTTTCCCCATCCTTTCTATTCAGCTAAAATGAAAAAACATAAACTGTAGCCTTTTATAGAGAGCCTCTTACACTGACCTATTCAAGTAATGAGACTCACTTAGTCTACTCACCAAGGAGAGTCAGAAAATAGCGCATACTGACACAGAAGCGTTCGCAAATCAGTTGTTGGATTCTATTCCAACCCAATTAAATAAGAAAGCAGTAACAGTAACATGTATTCCTCAGAATGGTGTGTGGAAATTAGATTGCTTCTAAATGGTTCTTAGGTAGAATGTTCCTAAATTATGCTCCTGGAGTATACCTGGCCTTGAAAGAAAATTCCAGACAAGCTCCTTCTCTGTTACTTAGCTATAAATTATGAAAAGCAGAAAATCAGTGGGAAATGACGACTATCTGAAAGCACGTTAGTGAAATGGTGAAGTAGCTTCCATTCTTTTTCAGCCAAACAGCTACTAACTTAAATGTGTTCATGTTATAGAAGAATCAAATAAAACCACAAGAACTCCTCCATAAAATAATGAATGGCATGGAAAAAGTGTGCCAGTGCCCCTATTTCCTATTGGCCTTTTCATACATGCAGCAGAGCTGAAGGCTGACATTCTGTTAGAGTCTGCAGATTTCTTGGTGACATAGATTCATGTAATTTGTATGTGCAGAACAGAGGAAGGAAGAAGAGGAAAGGAGTAGCATGTGGTTCATCACACTGGTTTACAGATTTTGCATTTGCCAGTTACATGGCTGGATGCTTTGACTGCCGTCGAGTGGTTGATACCAATGAGGGCCTGGCTTGTTACCTCTTGCTCCATGGTGGCGGTCAAGCAAAAAACTACCAGATTAAAATGGACATTGAAAACCAACTGTAATGATACATTTGAGGCTACATACATTCTCATTTTTATTAACTTACTCAGGTCACACAAAAGTAACTGTCAAATACTGTAAATTGATATTTCTCATCTGAATATAGTATTTAAACAAAAAAAAAAGAACCCAACCAAACAGAAAACTAAGATGAACATGTTTTGTTTAAGTAGAAAATAATTAAATTGGATAAACTGGATCTCTTTGTAAATACAGCCTTTCATAGCCTCTGCCATGAAAAACAATTGTAGTTAATGTTTGCATTCCAGGACTGCACCAAGACCAGTGCAATACTGTGTTAGGTCACCTAAAAACCCCAAGGATCTCATAGTCAAATCAATCACAACACACAAACCTTGTGCATCTAAACACAGTCTTAGGCATCATAATGCCCTAAATTTGCATTTTGCTATTCCACACAATCTATCTCCTCCAGTCACCCTTTCTTTCATCGTGTAGGTATTCCTTCACCCTCACATGATTCACTTTATCATTTATCATATTGTTATCCTTCCACCCATAATCCTCCCAAGCAAAATAGGAAAACCTCAGTTAGAGAATCCAGAGATGTCTGTAATACTGATGTGATTTAAGTGTCCAGAGGCCTGGAAACTCCTGCTGAGCTGACAGCTACCCCTACATGGTATTTTCCATCTCTGGGTGAGATGTTGGGAACGTTTCTATAAGGGAATTCTCACATCAGATAATACATTGTCACTGTAGATCCTACATTCAATATGGGGACTGAGCCTATCCAGTCCCTCTGCCCCTCTGCCTCCCTACCCCACCCTGCTAGCAACTCGACAGATGTACCTTGTGATGTCAACCTGAGAAGTCAGCAAATTTTAAAGTAAATGAAAGTAATTTAAATTGTCAATTTTCCTAATTTATGTTCCCACACACCTAGTAATATTTACATTTCTAAGCCTTGTTTTCTCAGCTTCATTCTGGGACAGCCATCTCCATGAGACAGCCAGTCAGCTACCTAGACGTGCATAGTTAATGCTCCTAGACTAATTGTTCTTTTTAATTTTTAGAACATATGGCTGCCTCCTCAAAGCGCGAAATAGGTGCTTTCTTCATGCATGCAGCCTCACGCTTTCAAAGGACACGTACAAAATTGGCTTAACTCTGAAGCGCAAATTGCTGGATGTGAAATACACCGTACCGCATTTCTAAATTCTCTTCTCATTTTGTTCCCCTTTGCCGGAGACCTTTTCTGTTTTCTGTTCCTTAAACTTAACAGGTGTGCAAAATAAAATAAAATAAAAGACATCACTCCTGTCTTCTACCTCCAGGTGAAAACAGGGTGTCAGCTTAGGAGGAGGGAGTGTTACCAGAGACTCTGGCTGAGCCAGCCTGGCCTAGGGGTGGGCTGTTGTCAGTGAGGCAAGGCACCTGGCTTGGAGCCCTGTTTCTTCTGTTAACCTGCTGCGAGACTAGAAGAAAATTAATGTATCCCTCTGTGCTCCTGCTTCGCTTTTGTCAATTTGAGGTGTTAAACTCTTCGATGTGATCTCTGTCCATGTGAATATATTGTGCCAACCTTCCCCGGGTGGATTCTTCTCAGGAAACACTGATTGAGTGAATAATGTACTAAACAGGCAGTCCCAAGTCCTCTGCTCTGCTTCTGGGTAACCCCAGGCAAATTATCAACTCAGAGTGCTTATTTGGCCTTTCAGCACAGCAGGAACAGTGATATTGACCACCTGTAACACTTTTGAGACTTAGTGTGAGAAGCAATAGAAGACACCAACAATCCTGTGAAATGCCTAACTAATAATAACCTGTTCTTCTGCCCAAGTGAACTGAGCCCCTGCTTCAACAAGGCTGAAAGTTTCTAGGGCATTTTTAGAAACTTTTGCAAAGACATTCTCCCTACACAACTGATTCATTTCCTACAAATGTAAAATGTTCAGTGCTATTTCAGCTTTATCCTCTGAATATTATTATCATTTCCTCTATTAACAGGAGTTGCTCATTCCTGTCACTCCTTTCATGTTACATTAGTGATTCTCATGTCCTGCTCTCAGCTGATGACTGAAAAGGCTGTTTAGCAACTGCCCTGCTAGTCTTCTTCCAGTTGCCAAATCAGAGAACTGGACAGCAGAAGCAAAGCTGCCTCACCTTGCCTTGGGAGAAGCACTGAGGTCTGATAAAGCACAACAGTAAAGAAGAATGAGGACTGAATCACTCTTCTCCTTTTTTGCAAAGCCTTTTCCTTTCCAAAGAAGTTTCTGAGATGATTCAGACTAGTTTCTAGAGGACTTTGGTCTGCAACTGCGATCCAGCATAACTTCCACCTTTCTTATTAGGACTCGCTTGTCCCTTATATCCTTCTCTGTATCTTAAAGTATGACTGAATGAAATTCAGATTTGCCTGAAGCTTGCCATAGCAAGTCACACTTCTGGGCATTCACCCAGAGCTGGACTGAGTTACACCTGGACCACAGGTCTACAGGCAATGAGAATTACATCATCTTTCTTTCTTGTAAACAGGGAAAGATTGAACATTTTGTCAAGAATTAAACAAGATTGAACATTTCTGTCATCAGTTCTATTTCATTACTGCTAGTTGTCATTGCTTTCCTGTCTCTTTAATTACATTATCACTGAATAAAATGAGAATAATTCCACTGTTTTCAGAGGACATTCTCCTGTTCTACAGTAGTATAAGAGAACATTTTGAAATGAGCAATTATACATCATATTTTACAGGATTAAATTGCTGTGCAGCCTAAGTAGCTCTGGGATGAAAATAAAAAAAAAATTACTGCCGAATTTTACTTTCACAGCAAACCCAATGAAAAGAAAGGGGAGTAAGCAGAAGAGGCCCTGCTTCTCAGGAGCTCTTTCAGCTGCTCTCCCCAAAGATCCACCCAGGGAACGCTGACAGACTCTAAAGCTGCTGTTTGAGAATATGAGAGTCTCCTACCGTGCTGTACACCAACAGCTACTTCATTAGGTACACAATATCCAATGCTCTGCATGCTCTGGATACATGCCAAACTAGGATTAAGTATGGATCAAAAGCTTGTGAATCAATTGCCAAGTCCATTGCACAGTCTTTAAGGAAAAGCATGGGGAAAAGCCTCATTTGTTGCAGTAATGGAAGACATTACTTCCCTGTACAAAGACAGGTGTTTTGGAATAGGCATACCTTCTGGAAAATATTAAGGGAAATATGGGACAGTATTTTTGAAGAACTGGGTTTTAAAAAGTAATTTTCTTTGTCATTAGGCCAGGGTGTGTATTCTGCAGCCTCTGAAATCCAAAAAATTTAATGTAGCTGCTGCTTTGACTTTGATCAGTAAATAATCCCTCCCTAACTGTGATTATAGCTGCCTTTTTTTAGTTTTGGTTTGGGTTGGTTTTTTTTTTTACTGGGGGTGGGTTAGGAAATTTACAGTGCTAGACCACAGTTTTGTAAACAGTTACCCATGCCTGCTTGATTTCATACAGTGAACAAATTCAATGAGAATAAACAAAGCTGCTTCTTTCACAGGCCCATAATTATTTAGAGGACTGGGAAGATAGGGGGGAAATCAGCCTATGACGAATCAGTCTGGACACCATCATCACTTCAAGGTAGAAAGAAAATAACATAAGCTCAGGGAAAAAAATGCATTACTGCACACTGAGGGTGAGAGTATAGGGTGACTTTTAGAAGGGTGAGGCAGCTGCTAACCTAAATTTTAAAACAGCTGGATTCACTTCTCTGAATGTCCTGTGGGATAGCACATAGCAGTGTCTCAGGGACATTTAGAGAAAGGTATACAAATTATTTGAGCAGCTAGGGGCTCAGTGGATTTTGTGAGCACTAGACAAGGCAACAGGACACTTCCAGAAAGAAATGTAATGACTCTGCTTGTTATGATTCCAGGTGACACATCTAGGAGAGCTGCAAGTATGATGTAGAACAACTGGAATTAAGAAAAAAACTCTCTTTAACTGAAGAAATGAGCTAAACCCAAGACTCAAAACAAGGGTCATGAATATGCTTAAGTAGAAATAATCAAATGCAAAAAATGCAGGCAGGCTAACAGTTCCTAAGAAGATGGCCCAGAGCCTACAGAGTGGAACAGATGAATGTAAGCTGAAAAGGCATGCTGTCATTAAGAAAAAAAAACACTATACAGGACTATGTAAACAAGAAAATAGCTTGCAAAAAACACGAGAAGTAATCCTTCTACTCTGACCACCAGTGTCCAGGCCCCAGATGGGCAAATCTGTTTCTGTTTGGTATAACAAAGAGGTGGGTCAATTGGACAGAGTCTGGTGAAGAGACATGAATGTGGTAAAAAGTCTAGAAAATATGACCTACAAAAAAATTTGATGATTTCCCCCAAAGAAGAAAAATCTCAGGGTCACGATATGAAACTCCAAATACGCTAAGAACTGATGCAGAGGTCAGCCTGTTCTACAAATCCAGTGGGAAGAGCTTTGCAGAAAAGGACCTGTGTGTCGTACACCAAGTTGAACATGAGCCAGCCACAGGCCCGTGTGTGAGAGGCTAACAGAACTCTGGGCTCCCTTAGGAGTGCTGCAGGAGGTCAGGGAGGTGACCCTCCCCCTTCACTCAGCACTAGTGAGGCCACACCTGGATTGCTGTGTCCAGTGCTGGGCTCCTCAGTCCTGGAGAGACGTGGACTGGCTGGAGAGTATGCACCTAAGGGCCGCAAAGATGATTAAGGGACTGGGGCATCTCTCCTGTGAGGAAAGGCTGGGAGAGTGGGAACTGTTTACCCTGGAGATGAGAAGGCTCAGGGGGATACCACTGTGCATAAATAACTGAAGGGAGGTTGCAAAGAGGTCGGAGCCAGGCTCTCTTCAGTGATGCCTAGAGACAGGACCAGAGTCAGTGGGCACAGACTGAAACACAGGAGGTTCCCTCTGAACATCAGGAAACACTTTTCTTTTTTTTTACTGAGGGTGCAAGTTGAAC